GACCAGGACTCAGACCAGGACCCAGACCAGGACCAGGACTCGGACGAGGACTCAGACCAGGACCAGGACTCGGACCAGGACTCAGACCAGGACTCAGACCAGGACCAGGACTCAGACCAGGACTCAGACCAGGACCAGGACCAGGACTCAGACCAGGACTCAGACCAGGACCAGGACTCAGACCAGGACTCAGACCAGGACCAGGACTCAGACCAGGACTCAGACCAGGACCAGGACTTAGACCAGGACTCAGACCCAGGACTCAGACCAGGACCAGGACTCAGACCAGGACTCAGACCAGGACCAGGACTCAGACCAGGACTCAGACCAGACCAGGACTCAGACCAGGACCAGGACTCGGACTCCATCATACAGACCAGACTTTGAGTTTTTATCCCTCAGAGTAACTTCAGTTCGGAGCTGTCGGTGGGACTTCAGTCCTGTCGGTGGGACTTCAGTCCGGAGCTTCAGTGGGACTTCCTCACCAGCAAGTGGTTTGGCCCCCTTGGGGTCTCTAGGTTGAAGGCCCTCCAGACTCCATTGATATTCCATAGGACTGAGATCAGAGGTCATAGGAGGTCAGAAGAGTCTGATGGTTTGTTCGTGGCCATTCTTGGTGTGGTCAGGTTATTATTTGGAGGACCCATGACCTGGACTAGGAAAGAAGGACCCATGACCTGGACTTGACCTGGACTAGGAGAGAAGGACCCATGACCTGGACTAGGAAAGAAGGACCCATGACCTGGACTAGGAAAGAAGGACCCATGACCTGGACTAGGAGAGAAGGACCCATGACCTGGACTAGGAAAGAAGGACCCATGACCTGGACTAGGAAGAAGGACCCATGACCTGGACTAGGACAGATGGACCCATGACCAGTAATTGGGACAGAAAGAACCTCGTGACCTGGAATGGGACAGAAGGACCTATGACCGAGACTGGGACAGAAGGACACATGACCTGAACCAAGGACAGAAGGACCCATGACCTGGACAGGGACAGAAGGACCATGACCTGGACAGGGACAGATGGACCCATGACCAGTAATTGGACAGAAGAACTCGTGACCTGGAATGGGACAGAAGGACTCATGACCTGGACTGGGACATAAAGACCCATAACCTGGACAGGGACAGAAGGACCCATGAGCAGGACTGGGACAGAAGGACCATGACCTGGACAGGGACAGATGGACCATGACCAGTAATTGGACAGAAGAACTCGTGACTGGAATGGGACAGAAGGACTCATGACATGGAACTGGGACAGAAGGACCCATGATCTGGACTGAGACAGAAGGACCCATGAGTTATCCTGCCAGGAAAAGGACCGGCTTGTGGGTGGAGCTCTTAGCACCTGTCACACTCTAACTATGGATATATACACTATATTACCCCAAGTATTGTCCCCCCGCCCCCCCCCGTATATACACCATATTGCCCCAAGTATTGTCCCCCCCCCCCCGTATATACACCATATTGCCCCAAGTATTGTCCCCCCCCCGCCCCCCCCCCGTATATACACTATATTGCCCCAAGTATTGTCCCCGCCCCCTCCCCCTATATACACTATATTGCCCCAAGTATTGTAAACCCCCCCCCGTATATACACTATATTGCCCCAAGTATTGTGTCCCCCCCCGTATATACACTATATTGCCCCAAGTATTGTCCCCCCCCCCGTATATACACTATATTGCCCCAAGTATTGTCCCCCCCCCGTATATACACTATATTGCCCCAAGTATTGTCCCCGCCCCCCCCGTATATACACTATATTGTCCCCCCCCAAGTATTGTCCCCGCCCCCCCGTATATACACCATATTGCCCCAAGTATTGTCCCCGCCCCCCCCCGTATATACACTATATTGCCCCAAGTATTGTCCCCCCCCCCGTATATACACTATATTGCCCCAAGTATTGTCCCCCCCCCGTATATACACTATATTGCCCCAAGTATTGTCCCCGCCCCCCCCCGTATATACACTATATTGCCCCAAGTATTGTCCCCCCCCCCGTATATACACTATATTGCCCCAAGTATTGTACCCCCCCCCCCCCCGTATATACACTATATTGCCCCAAGTATTGTCCCCCCCCCGTATATACACTATATTGCCCCAAGTATTGTCCCCGCCCCCGTATATACACTATATTGCCCCAAGTATTGTCCCCCCCCCCCGTATATACACTATATTGCCCCAAGTATTGTCCCCGCCCCCCTGTATATACACCATATTACCCCAAGTATTGTCCCCGCCCCCCCCATATATACACTATATTGCCCCAAGTATTGTCCCCGCCCCCCCGTATATACACGATATTTTGCCCTGTCCCCCCCCCCTGTATATACACAAATTGCCCCAAGTATTGTCATCCCCCCCCGTATATACATACACTATATTGCCCCAAGTATTGTCCCCCCCCCCCCCCCCCGTATATACACTATATTGCCCCAAGTATTGTCCCCGCCCCCCCCGTATATACACTTATTGCCCCAGGAATCGTCCCCCCCCCCCTGTATATACACTATATTGCCCCAAGTATTGTCCCCCCGCCCCCCATATATACACTATATTGCCCCAAGTATTGGGCCCCGGCCCCCCCACACACATACCTTTGATGGCCCCCCAGTCCCCTTAGTCCGTAGGGTTCAATATTGAGTTGGCCCCGCCCTTTCCACACACATGACCTTTGATGGCCCCCCAGTCTTAGTCCGTAGGGTTCAATATTGAGTTGGCCCCGCCCTTTCCACGCACATGACCTTTAATGGCCTCCCAGTCTTAGTCCGTAGGGTTCAATATTGAGTTGGCCCCGCCCTTCCCACACACATGACCTTTAATGGCCCCCCAGTCTTAGTCCGTAGGGTTCAATATTGAGTTGGCCCCGCCCTTTCCACGCACATGACCTTTAATGGCCTCCCAGTCTTAGTCCGTAGGGTTCAATATTGAGTTGGCCCCGCCCTTCCCACACACATGACCTTTAATGGCCCCCCAGTCTTAGTCCGTAGGGTTCAATATTGAGTTGGCCCCCCGCCCTTCCCACACACATGACCTTTAATGGCCCCCCAATCTCAGTCCGTAGGGTTCAATATTGAGTTGGCCCCGCCCTCCCCCACACACACAACCTTTAATGGCCCCCCAGTCTCAGTCCGTAGGGTTCAATATTGAGTTGGCCCCGCCCTCCCTTCCCACACACATGACCTTTAATGGCCCCCCAGTCTTAGTCCGTAGGGTTCAATATTGAGTTGGCCCCGCCCTTTCCACGCACATGACCTTTAATGGCCCCCGGTCTTAGCCCGTAGGGTTCAATATTGAGTTGGCCCCGCCCTTTCCACGCACATGACCTTTAATGGCCCCCGGTCTTAGCCCGTAGGGTTCAATATTGAGTTGGCCCCGCCTTTTCCTCACACATGACCTTTAATGGCCCCCCAGTCTTAGTTTAGGAGGGTTCAATATTGAGTTGGCCCCAGAAGCACATTTGCAGCTATAACAGCTTCAACTCTGTCGGGGGAAGGCCGTCCACAAGGTTTCGGGGGAGGGTGTCTATGTCGGGGAAGGTTGGACCATTCTTCCAGAAGCACTGATGTCGGGGGAGGTCAGGCACTGATGTCGGGGGAGGGGCACTGATGTCGGGGGAGGGGCACTGATGTCGGGGGAGGAGACCTGGCTCGCAGTCTCCGCTCTAATTCATCCCAAAGGTGTTCTATGGGGTTGAGGTCAGGACTCTGTGCAGGACAGTCAAGTTCCTCCACCCCAAACTGGCTCCTCCATGTCTTTATGGACCTTGCTGTGTGCACTGGGGGGCAGTCATGTTGGAACAGGAAGGGGCCATCCCCAAACTCCTCCCACAAAGTTGGGGGCATGAAATTGTCCAAAATGTGGCCTTAAGAGTTCCCTTCCCTGGAACTAGGGGGCCAAGCCCAACCCCTGAAAAAACACCCCCCCACACCATGATCCCCCCTCCACCAAACTTTACACTTGGCACAATGCAGTCAGGCAAGTACCGTTCTCCTGGCCACCGCCAAACCCAGACACGTCCATCGGATTGCCAGACAGAGAAGCGTGATTGGTCACTCCAGAGAAACATGTATCCCCTGCTCTAGAGTCCAGTGGCGGCATGCTTTACACCACATCCCCGCTTTGCATTGCACTTGGTGATGGAAGGCTTGGATGCAGCTTTAGAGTTGCACTTTACACCACGGCATCCGACGCTTTGCATGCACTTGGTGATGGAAGGCTTGGATGCAGCTGCTCGGCCATGGAAACCCATTCCATGAAGCTCTCTACACACTGTTGTTGGGCTCATCTGAAGGCCACACCAAGTTTGGAGGTCTTTAGCTATTGACTCTGCAGACAGTTGGTGACTTCTGCGCACTGTGTGCTTCAGCATGCGCTGACCCCGCCCTGTCATGTGACGTGGCCTACCACTTGGTGGCTGAGTGGCTGTTGTTCCCAGTGGCTTCCACTTTGTTATAATCCCACTAACAGTTGAGCGTGGAATATTTAGTAGCCAGGAAATGTCACGGATGGACTTATTGCCCAGGTGGCCACCTATCACGGGACCACGCTTGGAGTCACTGAGCTCCTGAGAGCGACCCATTCTTTCACCAATGTTTGTAGAAGCCGTCTGCATGCCTAGGGGCTTGATTGTATACACCTGTGTCCATGGAGGGGATTGGAACACCTGAATCACATGATATGGAGGGGATTGGAACACCTGAATCACATGATATGGAGGGGATTGGAACACCTGGAATCACATGATATGAGGGGATGGAGCACCTGAATCACATGATATGGAGGGGAATGGAGGGGTCGGAACACCTGAATCACATGATATGGAGGGGATTGGAACACCTGAATCACATGATATGGAGGGGATTGGAACACCTGAATCACATGATATGGAGGGGATTGGAACACCTGAATCACGTGATATGGAGGGGATTGGAACACCTGAATCACATGATTGGAGGGGGATTGAAACACTTGAATCACATGATTGGAGGGGATTGGAACACCTGAATCACATGATATGGAGGGGATTGGAACACCTGAATCACATGATTGGAGGGGATTGGAACACCTGAATCACATGATATGGAGGGGATTGGAACACCTGAATCACATGATTGGAGGGGATTGGAACACCTGAATCACATGATATGGAGGGTATTGGAACACCTGAATCACATGATATGGAGGGGATTGGAACACCTGAATCACATGATAGGGAGGGGATTGGAACACCTGAATCACATGATATGGAGGGGATTGGAACACCTGAATCACATGATTGGAGGGGATTGGAACACCTGAATCACATGATTGCGAGGGTATTGGAACACCTAAATCACATGATATGGAGGGGATTGGAACACCTGAATCACATGATTGGAGGGGATTGTAACACCTGAATCACATGATATGGGGGGGATTGGAACACCTGAATCACATGATATGGAGGGGATTGGAACACCTGAATCACATGATATGGAGGGGATTGGAACACCTGAATCACATGATATGGGAGGGGATTGGAACACCTGAATCACATGATACGGAGGGGATTGGAACACCTGAATCACATGATACGGAGGGGATTGGAACACCTGAATCACATGATTACGGAGGGGATTGGAACACCTGAATCACGTGATATGGAGGGGATTGGAACACCTGAATCACGTGATACGGAGGGGATTGTAACACCTGAATCACATGATATGGGAGGGGATTGGAACACTTGAATCACATGATATGGAGGGGGGGATTGGAACACTTGAATCACTTGATTGGAGGGGATTGGAACACTGAATCACATTTATATGATATGAAGGGGATTGGAAAACTTGAATCACGTGATATGGAGGGGATTGGAACACCTGAATCACATGATTGGGAGGGGATTGGAACACCTGAATCACATGATTGGGGGGATTGGAACACCTGAATCACATGATATGGGGGGGATTGGAACACCTGAATCACATGACATGGAGGGGGGGGCCAATACTTGGGGCAGTATGGAGTATAATCATAGATAGGAGGGGGGGGCGATGGTCACATGGCCTTCACGGGGGGGGGGACAGGTCAGCCTATTGATTTCTGGGGGGGCAGGTGATCAGTGCGGAGGACCTCCCACCATTTATATGGACCAATCAGGGGGATGACAGAGAATATCACTGAGATCTGTAATCTCCTCCACCAGGGGACCGACTCTCCTTCATGTTAGTATACGGTATATATGTACCCCTGGTGTACGGGGGGGGGCAGAGTTTATATACATATTAGTGTACGGGGGGGGGGGGGTACGGGGGGGGGGGCAGAGTTTATATACATATTAGTGTACGGGGGGGGGCAGAGTTTATATACATATTAGTGTACGGGGGGGGGGGGCAGAGTTTATATACATATTAGTGTACGGGGGGGGGGGGCATATTACGGTGTATACATATTAGTGTACGGGGGGGGGGCATAGTTTACGGTGTACATATTAGGGGGGGGGCAGAGTTTATTACGGTGTACGGGGGGGGGGGGGCAGAGTTTATATACATATTAGTGTACAGGGGGGGGGCAGATTACGGTTTGTACGGGGGGGGGGGGCATATATTGCGGTGTACGGGGGGGGGCAGATTATATACATATTAGTGTACAGTGGGGGGGGGCAGTTTTATATACATATTACGGGGGGGGGTGTACAGGGGGGGGGGGGCATATTATTACGGTGTACAGGGGGGGGCAGAGTTTATATACATATTAGTGTACGGGGGGGCATTGTACGGTGGGGGGGGGCATATTACGGTGTACAGGGGGGGGGGCATATTACGGTGTACAGGGGGGGGCATATTACGGTGTACAGGGGGGGGCATATTTACGGGGGGGGGGGCATATTGCGGGTATGGGGGGGGGGGGCATATTGCGGCGTATCCTCTGGGTGGAATTCCTCGCCGTTTGCGGCGGTTTTGGTCGCTCTTTCTTCGGTGGGATTGGAGGGTCGTCCAGCATCTGCTGATTTCGGGGCAATTAATCATCGTGATGTATGGGGGGGGGAGTGATGTATGGGGGGGGGGAGTGATGTATGGGGGGGGGAGTGATGGGGGGGGGGGGAGCGATGGCTTCCCGGGGACCTTCTCTGACAAGAATAACAAAGCAATTTGCCGGAAGCGTCTCCAGGACAACTAATCAGGTTCTTTGTGTTCAGACTGGCCGAGCGTTCACTGAGAGGAGCACCGCCAAACTCACCTGTCCACCAATACCGGCACTACACCTGGGGGACACGGGAAGGTCAGGGGTGTCATCACCCAAAGAGTCCTTGGTGCCGGGAACAGACTTCCCGCAGAGGAGGCGAGCCGCATACATCATACATGTCCCAGACACTCACCTATAGAGCCCCATACATCATACATGTCCCAACACTCACCTATAGAGCCCCATACATCATACATGTCCCAAACACTCACCTATAGAGCCCCATACATCATACATGTACCAGACACTCACCTATAGAGCCCCATACATCATACATGTCCCAAACACTCACCTATAGAGCCCCATACATCATACATGTCCCAGACACTCACTATAGAGCCCCATACATCATACATGTACCAGACACTCACCTAGAGAGCCCCATACATCATACATGTGTCATACACTCACCTATAGAGCCCCATACATCATACATGTGTCCCAAACACTCACCTATAGAGCCCCATACATCATACATGTACCAGACACTCACCTATAGAGCCCCATACATCATACATGTGCCAGACACTCACCTATAGAGCCCCATACATCATACATGTGTCATACACTCACCTATAGAGCCCCTATACATCATACATGTACCAGACACTCACCTATAGAGCCCCATACATCATACATGTGTCAGACACTCACCTATAGAGCCCCATACATCATACATGTACCAGACACTCACCTATAGAGCCCCATACATCATACATGTCCCAGACACTCACCTATAGAGCCCATACATCATACATGTCCCAGACACTCACCTATAGAGCCCCATACATCATACATGTCCCAACACTCACCTATTATAGAGCCCCATACATCATACATGTCCCAAACACTCACCTATAGAGCCCCATACATCATACATGTACCAGACACTCACCCTAGAGAGCCCCATACATCATACAAGTGTCCCATACACTCACCTATAGAACCCCATACATCATACATGTACCAAACACTCACCTAGAGAGCCCCAAACATCATACATGTACCATACACTCCCCTATAGAGCCCCATACATCATACATGTGTCATGCACTCACCTATAGAGCCCCATACATCATACATCTACCAGACACTCACCTATAGAGCCCCATACATCATACATGTGCCTAACACTCTCATATAGAGCCCCCTATACATCATACATGTGCCTGACACTCACCTATAGAGCCCATACATCATACATGTACCTGACACTCACCTATAGAGCCCCATACATCATACATGTACCAGACACTCACCTATAGAGCCCCATACATCATACATGTACATACACTCACCTATAGAGCCCCATACATCATACATGTGCCAACACTCACCTATAGAGCCCCATACATCATACATGTACCAGACACTCACCTATAGAGCCCCATACATCATACATGTGCCAGACACTCACCTATAGAGCCTCCATACATCATACATGTGCCATACACTCACATATAGAGCCCTATACATCATACATGTGCCATACACTCACCTATAGAGCCCCATACATCATACATGTGCCATACACTCACCCATAGAGCCCCATACATCATACATGTACCAGACACTCACCTATAGAGCCCCATACATCATACATGTGCCAGACACTCACCTATAGAGCCCCATACATCATACATGTGCCAGACACTCCCCTATAGAGACACTCCCCATACATCATACATGTGTCAGACACTCACCTATAGAGCCCCATACATCATACATGTACCAGACACTCACCTATAGAAGCCCCCCATACATCATACATGTGCCAGACACTCACCTATAGACCCCATACATCATACATGTGCCTAACACTCACCATATAGAACCCCATATACATCATACATGTACCAGACACTCACCTATAGAGCCCCATACATCATACATGTACCAGACACTCACCTATAGAGCCCCATACATCATACATGTGTCATAAACTCACCTATAGAGCCCCATACATCATACATGTGCCAGACACTCACCTATAGAACCACATACATACATCATACATGTGCCAGACACTCCCCTATAGAGCCCCATACATCATACATGTGCCAGACACTCACCTATAGAGCCCCATACATCATACATGTGCACACTCACCTATAGAACCACATACATCATACATGTGCCAGACACTCACCAATCGAATGTCATACATCATAGATGTGCCAGACACTCACCTATAGAGCCCCATACATCATACATGTACCAGACACTCACCTATAGAGCCCCAAACATCATACATGTACCAGACACTCCCTATAGAGCCCCATACATCATACATGTGTCATACACTCACCATAGAGCCCCATACATCATACATGTGTACCAGACACTCACCTATTATAGAGCCCCATACATCATACATTACCAGACACTCACCACATATAGAGCCCATACATCATACATGTGCCTGACACTCACCTATAGAGCCCCATACATCATACATGTGCCATACACTCACATATAGAGCCCCATACATAATACATGTACAAGACACTCACCTATAGAGCCCCATCATACTCACTCACCTATAGAGCCCCATACATCATACATGTACAAGACATCACATGTGCCCCATACATCATACATGTGCCAGACACTCACCTATAGAGCCCCATACATCATACATGTACAAGACACCACCTATAGAGCCCACATACATGTCAAAACACTCATATAGAGCCCCATACATCATACATGTGCCAGACACTCACCTATAGAGCCCCATACATCATACATGTGCCATACACTCACATATAGAGCCCCATACATCATACATGTGCCATACACTCACATATAGAGCCCCATACATCATACATGTGCCATACACTCACCTATAGAACCACATACATCATACATGTGCCAGACACTCCCCTATAGAGCCCCATACATCATACATGTGCCAGACACTCACCTATAGAGCCCCATACATCATACATGTGCCAGACACTCACCTATAGAACCCCATACATCATACATGTGCCAGACACTCCCCTATAGAGCCCCATACATCATACATGTGCCAGACACTCACCTATAGCCCCATACATCATACATCATACATGAATGTCATACATCATACATGTGCCAGACACTCACCTATAGAACCCATACATCATACATGTGCCAGACACTCACCTATAGAACCACTTCATACATCATACATGTGCCAGACACTCACCTATAGAGCCCCATACATCATACATGTGCCAGACACTCACCTATAGAGCCCCATACATCATACATGTGCCAGACACTCACATATAGAGCCCCATACATCATACATGCCATACATCACCTATAGAGCCCCATACATCATACATGTGCCTGACACTCACCTATAGAGCCCCATACATCATAAATGTGCCAGACACTCACCTATAGAGCCCCATACATCATACATGTGCCAGACACTCCCTATAGAGCCCCATACATCATACATGTGCCAGACACTCACCTATAGAGCCCCCATAC